TCCTTGACCTCTTTTATTAGATGTGTTCCCACAGACTTTCATTGATGTTTCCTATTAGAGAGACAGAAAACATTCTTATTATTGTATTAATTGTCAAAGAAATTATGATTTGCCAGTACATGTACCAAGTGATAGCATTAGTGATCCACACATATAAATCCTGTGGCTACGGTACAGCTTACAATCCATCGTGGTGGACATTTGGAAAATATCAAAATGCAATATGGCACACTCTCTGTATTTTGTTTGGCTATTTGAAATAATGATAAAAAAGAATTAAAAAAAACCAGGGAAAATATTGCCAAGAAGTACAGAAAATCTGTAGTAACCCATCTTATATATTGATGCTACCTCTCCCTGGTTATAGGAAACAACATTCGTTAAATTATAATTCAGGCTAATTTTAATATTATTCCAGAAGCATGACTGAAAGAGAAGCTGCAAACTGTGAATCTAACCAAAAAATTATCAATGAATAATGGGAATGTTAAAATAGCTTTGTTAAATTTTCACTGTTTTTAGGCATCCAGGTAATTACTTAATAAAGAGGTCAAATATAGATAAAGATCAGTTCAGGGGTCACCAAAGGTCATACGATAAATCTGGTAAAAAGTAAAAGGATTAAATGTAATTTTGTAATAAGAGTCAACTGTAATTGTAAAAGTTTTCAGGGTTTTATCAAAATATTTTTTACCACTGTTACATCATTTATGGTTTTAATTAAGTAATCAATTAAGAATGTATATACATGTATTTAATACATGTAAATATTTTTTACCACTGTTACATCATTTATGGTTTTAATTAAGTAATCAATTAAGAATGTATATACATGTATTTAATACAAGTTCACATAACAAAATTGCTTAATGAACAAAGTTATGTTGTCCTGGTTTTTTTTCTTTTAAAATAATGTGATTTTCTTATGTAAGATATTTTTAATGTAGAAATCATTATAATGTTCTATACAACTTAGGGTACACTAAAATTATATCTCGTTAAATTTTCTTTTATATCAAGTTTATACAGATCATTATTGTTTTCAAATTTTAAAAAGACTTAAAACTAAATGTAAATGTAAAGTTTTAAAATTTATTAAGGTTTTATACAATATATTGTTAATTGTGTCATTATAGCCGAATATTTTTATTTGATCTTAGCGGCCTTACAGAACAACATGTCCAGTGTGAAGGATAGCTTCACATGTTTATGTAATCTGTGTATGATTTCCCATCTGTGATATGTATGTCAATGTGTCCTGTATCAGTAGGTGTGTCTTAGATATCATCTCAAATGATAATAAAATACATTATTTTTAAACTTTGTTACAAGAAAGCAAAATTTCAATAAAAAAAAAAGGAGAATTACTTTTACACATTTTGTTTGTTTTGTTGTATTACATTGGTATTCATATTTTATCACTAATAGTAAATTATTTGGCCAATACAATTACATTGTATAACTATTAATACTATAATTCATTACAGCAGACATTCAAATATATGTTTCAGCTCTTATTGTCAAAAATCCTTTTATTGTAAAAGAATTCTTATTCTCCGTGAAGACATATTTGAACTATTTCAATTCAAAGGCTGGAATAGTTCATTATGAAATTTCAGGGGTGAATGAGTTAAGATTCAACAATTTCTTGTACAGTACATGTACTAATTGACTTTTAGATGAATATTTAAAAATAAGTTCATATTTACTTTTAAAGCAAATAAAAGACAAATGAGCATCCATTAAATATGAAGCACTTCCTGTAACACATGGTCATCTCTAAGTAGTCTGTGAACTTCACACATGTTTGTACTATTCCAGAACAATTTTTTTTATTTTTTTTCGTTAAAATTAGCTTTAAAAATAGTGAAAGATATGACAGATTATTTGTTTATCAAATGTCTGGAATTTGAAAGTAATTAAACATATATCAATGATGTCCTTGCACCCTTCTAATATGTGAACTTGAACACATATCTGGTGACCTTCAAAAACCTGGCTATAGTGACACTGGACAGTGAAAGAACCATTTTAAAATAGGTCATAAATATATTTTCAACTGCAAAAATAACTGAAAATTTCTCTATTATCATAATCCATGTGTTTGATCCACGAGATTCTGAATGCGTTATTGTGTATAGAGATCTGTGGGTAGGATGCCAAGGAAATGGTGTCACCCACTAACTTCCCATACACATCTTCACCTGATGTTATCTGTATATTGAGAAAATGGTGGAGAATATTCTGTCCAGAGGATGCTAGTGAGCCATTGGTCTGTACAGTTAACATTTATCTGTCTGTGGACAGTATTCACCGTCATTCCTTTGGTCAGGGTCCCCGAACCCAGAGATAGCAAGTCCACAACACAGTGTCACGCTAAAATGTCAGGTAGTATGTAGACATAATATCATGTTAACATGTCAGGTAGTATGTGGACATAATACCATGTTAACATGTCAGGAAGTATGTGGACATAAAATCATGTTAACATGTTGGGTACTATGTGGACATAAAATCATGTTAACATGTCAGGTAGGATCTGCACATAATATCATGTTAACATGTACGGTAGTATGTGAAAATAATATCATGTTAACATGTCGGGTAGTATGTGGACATAATACCAAGTTAACATGTCAGGTAGTATGTGGACATAATATCATGTTAACATGTCAGGTAGTATGTGGACATAATAACATGTTAACATGTCGGGTAGTATGTGGACATAATACCAAGTTAACATGTCAGGTAGTATGTGGACATAATATCATGTTAACGTGTCAGGTAGTATGTGGACATAATACCATGTTAACATGTCAGGTAGGATGTGGACATAATATCATGTTAACATGTCAGGTAGTATGTGGACATAATACCATGTTAACATGTTAGGTAGGATGTGGACATAATATCATATTTACACATAACGTAGAATATGGACACATCACCATATTTACAAATAACGTAGAATATGGACACAACACCATATTTAAACATAGGGTAGAATATGGACACAACACCATATTGACACATAACTTATAATATGGACACAACACCATGTTTAGACATAACGTATGATCTGGACACAACACCATATTTACAAATAATGTATAATATGGACACAACACCATATTTACACATAACGTATAATATGGACACAACACCATATTTACACATAACGTATGATATGGACACAACACCATATTTACACATAACGTATAATATGGACACAACACCATATTTACAAATAACGTATAATATGGACACAACACCATATTTACACATAATGTAGGATGTGGACACAACACCATATTGACACATAACATATAATATGGACACAACACCATATTTACACATAACGTATGATCTGGACACAACACCATATTGACACATAACATATAATATGGACACAACACCATATTTACACATAACGTATGATCTGGACACAACACCATATTGACACATAACATATAATATGGACACAACACCATATTTACACATAACGTATGATCTGGACACAACACCATATTGACACATAACATATAATATGGACACAACACCATATTTACACATAACGTATGATCTGGACACAACACCATATTGACACATAACNGTTTTAGGGGTAGTTAAATACTGTCTATCTGTTTTAGGGGTAGTTAAATACTGTCTATCTGTTTTAGGGGTAGTTAAATACTGTCTATCTGTTTTAGGGGTAGTTAAATACTGTCTATCTGTTTTAGGGGTAGTTAAATACTGTCTATCTGTTTTAGGGGTAGTTAAATACTGTCTATCTGTTTTAGGGGTAGTTAAATACTGTCTATCTGTTTTAGGGGTAGTTAAATACTGTCTATCTGTTTTAGGGGTAGTTAAATACTGTCTATCTGTTTTAGGGGTAGTTAAATACTGTCTATCTGTTTTAGGGGTAGTTAAATACTGTCTATCTGTTTTAGGGGTAGTTAAATACTGTCTATCTGTTTTAGGGGTAGTTAAATACTGTCTATCTGTTTTAGGGGTAGTTAAATACTGTCTATCTGTTTTAGGGGTAGTTAAATACTGTCTATCTGTTTTAGGGGTAGTTAAATACTGTCTATCTGTTTTAGGGGTAGTTAAATACTGTCTATCTGTTTTAGGGGTAGTTAAATACTGTCTATCTGTTTTAGGGGTAGTTAAATACTGTCTATCTGTTTTAGGGGTAGTTAAATACTGTCTATCTGTTTTAGGGGTAGTTAAATACTGTCTATCTGTTTTAGGGGTAGTTAAATACTGTCTATCTGTTTTAGGGGTAGTTAAATACTGTCTATCTGTTTTAGGGGTAGTTAAATACTGTCTATCTGTTTTAGGGGTAGTTAAATACTGTCTATCTGTTTTAGGGGTAGTTAAATACTGTCTATCTGTTTTAGGGGTAGTTAAATACTGTCTATCTGTTTTAGGGGTAGTTAAATACTGTCTATCTGTTTTAGGGGTAGTTAAATACTGTCTATCTGTTTTAGGGGTAGTTAAATACTGTCTATCTGTTTTAGGGGTAGTTAAATACTGTCTATCTGTTTTAGGGGTAGTTAAATACTGTCTATCTGTTTTAGGGGTAGTTAAATACTGTCTATCTGTTTTAGGGGTAGTTAAATACTGTCTATCTGTTTTAGGGGTAGTTAAATACTGTCTATCTGTTTTAGGGGTAGTTAAATACTGTCTATCTGTTTTAGGGGTAGTTAAATACTGTCTATCTGTTTTAGGGGTAGTTAAATACTGTCTATCTGTTTTAGGGGTAGTTAAATACTGTCTATCTGTTTTAGGGGTAGTTAAATACTGTCTATCTGTTTTAGGGGTAGTTAAATACTGTCTATCTGTTTTAGGGGTAGTTAAATACTGTCTATCTGTTTTAGGGGTAGTTAAATACTGTCTATCTGTTTTAGGGGTTGTTAAATACTGTCTATCTGTTTTAGGGGTAGTTAAATACTGTCTATCTGTTTTAGGGGTAGTTAAATACTGTCTATCTGTTTCAGCTTTAGACACATCGGTGCTGAAGGACACAAAGATCGTGTTTGTTGTGGGTAAGTTATTGCCTAACTGACTTTTTCATGAGTTAGATATTGCTGAAGGACAAAAATCTCATTTATATAAATTCAATTAAGACAATCTATTGAACACGCAGTAAATGTAGAGTGTGAGAACAGTGCCTAGATAAGCAATGTAGACTGAGATCACTTTATTGTTTTCAATGAGTTAAGATACATTTGACTGTCAACGTCAGTTTCTAAATAATCTTGACTTCCCCACAGGTGGGCCGGGCAGTGGTAAGGGGACACAGTGTGAGAGGATTGTACAACAGTTTGGCTTCACCCATCTCTCCACTGGTGACCTTCTGAGGGCAGAGGTCGCGTCAGGGTCGGCCAGGGGCAAGGAACTCACGAGTATCATGGAGAGTGGACAACTTGTACCCCTGGTGAGTTTAATGGAGTTTCTTTTTTTTTCAGAAGAAAAAACTCATTGTGACAATTGTACCCAGGCCTCACATCCATATATATATTTTTTTCTTTTTTTTTCTTTTTTTTTTTCAGTACAAATATTTTATCCATATATTAGTGGCTTATTTAAAAAGGGGAATAACTCATCAGTCGCATGATAATATATGATCTTAATGTGTAAACTATAAAAGGAAATCAAGTAAATAACACCTGATTAACAAAACTCAATTTAAAAAACTTAAGTATATATACTATTTGAGTTAATATTGTTATGTATAATGTTGCACTTTAATTATCATTGTAAAATCACAGTTCCAACATGTTAATTGTTCAGTCATTGTTTGTAAATGATAATGCCAAATAATTTGAAGTTTTAACTTCAAGGTTATATATGCCTTAATTGACTTTATGAATTTGCTCAAATTTTCATTTCTTAAAGTAGTTAAAAAACCCAGAGAAATTGTTCATTTAAATATTGTCTCACCGTCTCACCTTCAGGATGTGGTACTACAGCTGCTGAAGGAGAAAATGATGGCAGCTGCTGCAACCAGCTCCGGTTTCCTCATTGATGGCTACCCTCGTGAGATGGAGCAGGGGACCAGGTTTGAAAATGAGGTATGGTATCATGGCTATCTGGACCAACTTTGCTTAATACTCCATTATTTAATTGTTTTGGAGGGATTGGCATGTAGTGTTACCCATGTCTGTCACATCCTGTATAGGAATACCTTGACTTAATGCTTCAGGATATCAAAGTCCACCACAAGGTCATCGTGTCTATTTACAGAAATTTTTCAATCAATTCAGTTTCATCACTCTAGCAATTCTTGTTTTCCAATTAATCTTAATTCCTTTGTGCAAAGATCAGTTATGAGAATACATGGGTGGAGTGTACATAGTTATAGGGTGCCAAGGTCACTATTACTCTCAAAAGGAAAATTTTGTTTCCGTCCCAACAAATTAATTTCTGAACAGATATTATTCATAATTCATACAATTAAAATGACCTTCTTTCTCTAATTGAGATGACAAGAGGGGATTCATATTTCAGGGCACTAAGCTGAAAGTCAATGTTGCTTTTTGTAGAAAATCTTCAAACTATGAAACTTTACATATAGTCAAGCTAATGGCGTCCATCTCTCACAGACATTTTCTAGCTATAATTATCATTGGTGATTTTCTATTTATTTTTGCGTGTCTTTTGCAAGTGACAGTTTAACTTTTATTATTTATTATTAAATAATCTTTTCTATATATAGGTGGCCCCCTGTACTTGTGTCCTGTACTTCGAGGCATCAGATGAGACAATGACTCAGCGTCTCCTTGGTCGCGCCCTCACCAGTGGCCGTGTGGACGACAATGAGGAAACTATCAAAAAGAGGCTGACAACATTCCACGACATCACAACTCCAGTCATCGACTATTTCACTCAGCACGATAAGGTCAAAAAGGTCAGTACATTGAATTTGTGAATAAAACAGGTTTACTAGATTTTCTAATATTTCATTAAAATTCTGTATTCATTGGTACTGTATATCTGTTATAATCACTGAGAGTATCAATCTTTTTAGGTGTCAGCAGAGAGACATGTGGATGAAGTTTACGGCGATGTCAAAACTATATTTGATGAACTTGTTCCTGGAAGCACTGGTTAGTGTGAGAGAATAGATAAAGTACCTGTGGTTTTATATCATTATCACCATAGTTGTTGTGTCACCCTATCTATAAGTAGGTACCTAACTAAACATAAATTAGCTGTTTGTTAATTTGATTTCACTGTTTATGTTTCTTTTTGAAATGAGTCATCCTATAAAAAACACTTTTCATCCGTATCACATTTTACTGAATTTTAGTCCTATTAAACTATAAAGAAGTTGATAAATTACATTGAAGTATCTTAATTGTGCATAAACATGCCAGAGACTGAAAACTTCACTCAGTATAATCTCACTGACCAAATTGGCGTTACTTGTCTAATTATCATTAAATAACAAATGTCACAGTTCCTAAAAAAGGTGCTCCCACAACTCCTCCACCAGAGGTCCCAACGACTCCTCCACCAGAGGTCCCCACAACTCCTCCACCAGAGGTCCCCACAACTCCTCCACCAGAGGTCCCCACTCAGGAGACCACACCAGTTGATACCTCCATTCTCAAAGACACAAAGGTTGTGTTTGTTGTCGGTAAGTAATAAACCAGAAACATACCACTGATTACTGTTAGTATAATATTTTTGCCCTCCGAATGTTCACCATTTATGTCATTCCCATCCTTGGAATTATTGATCTTTCTTTGTTACTGTGAAGGTCAAGATTTCATGATAGCTTAAAGCATTTGTCAACAATTAGTTCTTGGTACTTTAAATTGTATTTCAATATTGTAACAATATTCAAATGAAGCCTCCAATGTTTGAAGAGTTCGCCTTTGTTCAGGTCGTTATGGGTTATCCATCATTAGGAATTGTGGTATGTGATATATATATCAAGGATCAAATAACTAAACAAAAATCTTAAGCTTGTAAGAATGAGTGTCCACCCATTACTGATACATTGAATACCATTGACTTCCCCACAGGTGGGCCGGGCAGTGGTAAGGGGACACAGTGTGAGAGGATTGTACAACAGTTTGGCTTCACCCATCTCTCCACTGGTGACCTTCTGAGGGCAGAGGTCGCGTCAGGGTCGGCCAGGGGCAAGGAACTCACGAGTATCATGGAGAGTGGACAACTTGTACCCCTTGTGAGTGTATTGGTGGTTTCACATGTAATGGGGGATAATGCACCAGTATCATAGATAATGCATAACTCTTTTTCCTGATCGTAATGGTGGTTCACTTTTAAAGAAGGGAGAGGTAGTTGAACTCGCTTCTTTCAAGGAGATTTAAAAGACAGAATCATAATTCTCCTATCATTACATACATTCAAACTGTTACTAATTACATATGTCTACCTCCTCTCAACTCCAGGATGTGGTGCTACAGCTGCTGAAGGAGAAAATGGTGGCAGCTGCTGCAACCAGCTCCGGTTTCCTTATTGATGGCTACCCTCGAGAAATGGAGCAGGGGACAAGGTTTGAAAATGAGGCAAGTTATGACATTGATTATTCATTTCTCATGTAAAAAAAAAAGTTTCATTGGTCAAGAATGAGAAAACTTGATTGGAAAACTTCTCCTGATTAAATGTCAAGTTGGTTAGAGACTTAACATTAAATGTCAAGTTGGTTAGAGACTTACCATTAAATTACAGCAGATTATCTATAAACAAATTGTATGGTTCTTCAATGCTGTTAAGGCAGTGAAAATGCTGATGAAGAAAACGTAGTAAATGATATAACAACAAAGCGATTTAACCAAAAGACTACGTTTCTTTTTATTCATATTTTGTTCAAACTTCATACACATCAAACACATATTCACCTTTTAGTTTTGTGTTCTACAATTTTTATATAGGATGATATATTTTTGTGTACATGTTAGAATCACCATTTTGTAGGTAACTCCATGCACATGTGTCCTGTACTTCGAGGCATCAGATGAGACGATGACTCAGCGTCTCCTTGGTCGCGCCCTCACCAGTGGCCGTGTGGACGACAATGAGGAAACTATCAAAAAGAGGCTGACAACATTCCACGACATCACAACTCCTGTTATAGATCACTTCTCACAGCAGGAAAAACTCAAAAAGGTCAGTACGCTTAAAAAAGACATCATTTTACGCTGTATTTCATTAATTAATGCATTCACTCAAATATCACCTATAAATCTATATAAATATGCCAAGATTACATGATAATTTTCTTATCAACATCTTTAATAAGAAGCATTGAACTGATATTTTTTTTTATTAAAATTAAGAATGCTTGCAATTAAATAGACTGACATTTTCAGACAATAAGATATATAGGTGACAATATATAACACTGTATGTTGTGTATGTGTCAGCAGGTGTCAGCAGAGAGAGATGTGTCTGATGTGTTAAGATGTATATGTGATAATATATAAGATTGTATGTTGTGTTGTGTAGGTGACAGCAGAGAGAGCTGTGTCTGATGTGTAAAGATATATTGGTGATAATAGATAAGATTGTTGTGTTGTGTAGGTGACAGCAGAGAGAGCTGTGTCTGATGTGTAAAGATATATTGGTGATAATAGATAAGATTGTTGTGTTGTGTAGGTGACAGCAGAGAGAGAGCTGTATGTTGTGTATGTGTCAGCAGGTGTCAGCAGAGAGAGGTGTGTCTGATGTGTTAAGATATATATGTGATAAGATATAAGATTGTATGTTGTGTTGTGTAGGTGTCAGCAGAGAGAAATGTGTCTGATGTGTTAAGATATATATGTGATAATACATATGATTGTATGTTGCGTTGTGTAGGTGTCAGCAGAGAGAGATGTGTCTGAAGTGTAAAGATATATTGGTGATAATATATATGATTGAATGTTGTGTTGTGTAGGTCTCAGCAGAGAGAGATGTGTCTGATGTGTAACGATATATTGGTGATAATATATAAGACTGTATGTTGTGTTGTGTAGGTGACAGCAGAGAGAGCTGTGTCTGATGTGTAAAGATATATTGGTGATAATATATAAGATTGCATGTTGTGTTGTGTAGGCGACAGCAGAGAGAGATGTGTCTGATGTGTTAAGATATATATGTGATAATATATATGATTGTATGTTGTGTTGTGTAGGTGTCAGTAGAGAGAGATGTGTCTCATGTGTAAAGATATATTGGTGATAATATATATGGTTGTTGTGTTGTGTAGGTGACAGCAGAGAGAAATGTGTCTGATGTGTTAAGATATATTGGTCATAATATATAAGATTGTTGTGCTGTGTTGTGTAGGTGACAGCAGAGAGAGCTGTGTCTGATGTGTAAAGATATATTGGTGATAATATATATGGTTGTTGTGTTGTGTAGGTGACAGCAGAGAGAAATGTGTCTGATGTGTTAAGATATATATGTGATAATACATATGATTGTATGTTGCGTTGTGTAGGTGTCAGCAGAGAGAGATGTGTCTGATGTGTAAGATTGTATGTAGTGTTGTGTAGGTGACAGCAGAGAGAGATGTGTTTGATGTGTAAAAATATATTGGTGATAATATATAAGATAGTATGTTGTGTTGTGTAGGTTACAGCAGAGAGAGGTGTGTCTGATGTGTTAAGATATATATGTGATAATATATAAGCTTGTATGTTTTGTTGTGTAGGTGACAGCAGAGTGAGATGTGTCTGATGTGTAAAAATATATTGGTGATAATATATAAGATAGTATGTTGTGTTGTGTAGGTTACAGCAGAGAGAGGTGTGTCTGATGTGTTAAGATATATATGTGATAAGATATAAGATTGTATGTTGTGTTGTGTAGGTGACAGCAGAGAGAAATGTGTCTGATGTGTTAAGATATATTGGTGATAATATATATGATTGTTGTGTTGTGTAGGTGACAGCAGAGAGAGCTGTGTCTGATGTGTAAAGATATATTGGTGATAATATATATGATTGAATGTTGTGTTGTGTAGGTCTCAGCAGAGAGAGATGTGTCTGATGTGTAACGATATATTGGTGATAATATATAAGACTGTATGTTGTGTTGTGTAGGTGACAGCAGAGAGAGCTGTGTCTGATGTGTAAAGATATATTGGTGATAATAGATAAGATTGTTGTGTTGTGTAGGTGACAGCAGAGAGAAATGTGTCTGATGTGTTAAGATATATTGGTCATAATATATAAGATTGTTGTGCTGTGTTGTGTAGGGGACAGCAGAGAGAGATGTGTCTGATGTGTTAAGATATATATGGGATAATATATAAGATTGTATGTTGTGTTGTGTAGGTGTCAGCAGAGAGAGATGTGTCTGAAGTGTAAAGATATATTGGTGATAATATATAAGACTGTATGTTGTGTTGTGTAGGTGCCAGCAGAGAGAGATGTGTCTGATGTGTTAAGATATATTGGTGATAATATATAAGATTGTATGTTTTGTTGTGTAGGTGACAGCAGAGAGAGATGTGTCTGATGTGTAAAAATATATTGGTGATAATATATAAGATAGTATGTTGTGTTGTGTAGGTGACAGCAGAGAGAGATGTGTCTGATGTGTAAAGATATATTGGTGATAATATATAAGATAGTATGTTGTGTTGTGTAGGTGTCAGCAGAGAGAGATGTGTCTGATGTGTTAAGATATATTGGTGATAATATATATGATTGTATGTTGTGTTGTGTAGGTGTCAGCAGAGAGAGATGTAGCTGATGTGTTCACAGATGTACAGGAGATATTCAATAACATCACTGGTGAGTTATCCCCCAACCTCTTACATGCAAAAATGATCTTTCTATTCGATCCCATTCAATACCTTACGATAATTATACTGTATTCAGTCCAGTTATCACCAATTTAGTCTGTATTTCAAGGACAATAGGTCAGCTTCATTATTCATTTATCAATCCTGCACTAACCAAACTTTATACAAAAGGTGTTGTAAATAGTTAGGTGTGTCAATGGTGATGTTTAGGGTGACTATGGTAGCAGAGTGTGACCGATGTGCCTGCTGATTCTGATATGATCTTGCTCCTATAATCCTAATAGCCTTCATAATTGGGCTGGATATGTATCCGAACAGGACCGGGTCGATCGACAGTGATCAGGCAGCTCAACCGATTAGAGCTTGGAGGTCCCGAGTTCCATTCCCAAGCTGCCAGGTCGGGCATTTTCTGTGTTGGAAATCACGTGACCTCTGATGAAATGTGAACTGACAGATTCCTTTCTTTTATATATTGGTACATATTCCTCCATTGCAGTAATGGTTTGGTTAAAAAGGCTGTTCGTCTACAACGTTTAGCCTGTCTCGGTTCGGGTATGACCATATCCACCCACAAACCTGAATATTTGTAAAATCAGCAACATTTAGGATCGTCTTTTATAAAGGACCATTGGAAGAACAACTCATAGGGTTAGGATGGTTAGGTATGTTGGAGATGCTATATACGGTTACTATGGTAAGGGAGGTCAAGGGAATTCTGTAGGGTTACTAAGATATGGTATTGTAAGGGTAATTTGTAGGGTGACCATGTAAAGGTTTTTCAAAGGTGTTTGTAGGATAACTATGGTAATGTATATCAACGATCCCATTGTATGCATAATTAACACACATGTGTGATAGAAGTTGCTCAAAACCTATTGATTATAGTTTCCTGTGGCCTAATCTCCAAAATAGCTGGCTTCATGCATGTGTATAGAGTTAGAAGTAGGAGTATTGATTGCCGGACCAGCTAGTACCTATAACTACAGCAGACGAGGGGCCTGCTGCACCAACATTGTACCTCTATAATTAAGCTCATCTGTTGTCTCTGCTGATTATACATACCCAATACTCTGTGTTTACACTTACCATCACCGGTGCTGTATTACATTGAATGGGATATGACTATTGAGCTATTGCTATAGTATATTAAGCCTGGATCAACGGATTTTCGTATTGGTGTAATAATTGTGAGGATGATTGTGTTGTGTTGGAACGTGTGCTACCTGATCTATGACAAGCTCTGTAGTGTCGGTAAGTTCTTTCGTTTGTTATTACGTACACTGTACACATGTGTACATTCATAAAAACACAAACACTATCTGTCTTGGCCACATGTGTATATTGCTCATGTATCGCAATTGTTGGAAAGGAATTAATATAAGCCCCAATCTTGTTTTCCCATCCCATATTTATATTTGTATTTGTAAAATTGTTGATTATTGAATAAAATATTGTTTAAACTAAGTGTTGGTTTAAAGGTCACTCTAAGGATATTCAGTGTAAATAGGGATATATCAATACTCCAGCATTGTGTTACCAAAGGTCACTGATCTCACTTACTTTTCATATTTCTGCTGATATTGCTTTCGTCATTTTATGCTCTGATATCTCACTGTTACTTTATGTATTTTTATAGAAAATTCGGTAAATACCTTCAGTGACTGACTGTACAATATATATGTGTGTGTGACAGTGCTGGTACTAGTATTATATATATGGACCATATATATATCTGAAAGTGATAATGACCGATGTGCCTACTGATTCTGATATGATCTTGTTCCTATAATCCTAATAGCCTTCATAATTTGGCTGCATATGTATCAGAACAGGACCGGGTCGATCGACAGTGATCAGGCAGCTCAACTGATTAGAGCTTGGAGGTCCCCAGTTCCATTCCCAAGCTGTCAGGTCGGGCATTTTCTGTGTTTGAAATCACGTGACCTCTAATGATTCAGTTCACAGGAAGTGGTGGAATAATGTGAACTGACAGATTCATTTCTATTATATATTGGTACATATTCCTCCACTGCAGTAATGGTTTGGTTAAAAAGTCTGGTCGTCTACAACGTTTAGCCTGTCTCGGTTCGGGTATGACCATATCCACGCACACACCTGAATATTTGTAAAATCAGCATCATCTAAGAACGTCTTTTATAAAGGAGCATTAAGTTGAGCCTTTTGCGTTTACTTATGTATCTATTATACATTTGATACCTAGCCAACGCATTAAATCACTATTTAGCATACTGATGTATGTGTTTATTGACTGCTGTAATCGTTATTGGCTGTTCGTATTTGTACAATCATTCTGGTTTGTAAGTCAGTGCCAGTTTGGAATATATAGAATCCCCAACAATTGCTTCAAATTAAAAGGTGAATTACAGTACTTGACCCTCAATCAATATTTCCCTAACCTTACCTTACCTTAAGTCTCTCATCGCCAGTAGGCGCATAAGGCCTCCACGCTTTCTCTCAAACCCAATCTGTCTTTTGCTGCTGTTTTTGTGGAGTTCCAGCTACTCCATCCTATATAGTTGCACTCTGATTCAACCGTTCTTCGCCAGGTTGTTTTTGGTCTCCCTCTTACTCTTTTTCTTTCTGTTGCCCATCCCAAAGCTGTTGTACAGTCATTTTCTCGTTCCCTCCTCAAGATGTGACCAGTCCAGTACCACATTCTTTCTTAAACCTTATTATTATTTTTATTGATTTTGAGCTGACTCTGATTGGCTGAAACAACATCATGTGACCACCTGTAAAAGTAGTTATAAACCTGAGTGGTTTGCAGGTGTTCAAAAAAGTTGGTAGAACAAGTGTTATTGACCTGCTATAAATAGATTCTGGAATTTTTGTGAAGTCATTTAGATGCTTGATTAACACCCCATGGGAGACAAACACAGTAATGATCAAGATTAACACTGAAGTCACTTGGATGCTTGATACTGCCTATCAAAGACAAACGCAGTAGTGATCAAAAGTTTAGCAACAAAAATTAACAAATTAAAATGTTATTTTTCTTGAATAAATAAGTAGTGATCAAGAGTTTATTAACAGCAAAAATGTTATTTTTCTGATATTTTTGTTTAGTTGATCTTAAAATTTGTGACTAAAAAAGAAATGGAAAAAAAATGAAAAACTATATTTTTTTCTTCAATTTTGAAAAAAATCAATTAAAATTATAAAACAATTATAGCATGGTGATGAGGTCGATACATGGTTTTATCAACCTAGGTTAGCAATATTAACCTCGGACTGCGTCCTCGGTTAATATTGCTAACCTAGGTTGATAAAACCATGTATCGACCTCATCACCATGCTATAATTGTATAATATTAAAAACATCGCCGCCGTTCACAGTAAGCCTTTAAATACCGGAAATAGTTGTATTACCTTTTGATACAAAAAAACCATTCAAATGCTATCAAACCTGATCTAGTTAGTATGCATTTATGTGGGGTTTTTCTCCTGTTGCTGGGTCATAAATTCAACAATTTATACCCCTCTTTCTCACTTGAAATAAGCTGATATGCGAAATTGTAGAGTTTTCCTGTGTACTATGTTAAAGTAAAATGTTTTGTCCTAAAGATAATAATAACGAAGGTAAAGACCGAACCAAACTTCTACCCACCGGAACGTTAGTACAAACCTGTGGAGAAGGTCACTGAACTATCCCCGAGATAGCACATGCTAATCAATGCGTCAGAAGTCGTCTCTTTAATAAAAGATCGGTTATGACGAGCTTATTAAGTGGCTGTCCTACTACAATTGATTAAGGTGATATATGGAGGAGTTCAATAGTGACCGGAACAATTCTGAAGAGTTCACGACCCGAATAATGATAGTGATAATTAAGACACAAGATGGGAACATATCTATAAATGAAGAGAGTGATTTTCAACGTTGATGCATAGAACTAGTATTTTATGGTTTACCAGATATCAGGGAGAGTGAAATTATAAGCATGGCAATAGACGAGTATAATTTTGTATATACTGAAGTAGAGAATTCTTCTGATTTAGAACAGAAACCAATTGTCAGTTATCCCAATAGTAACAGACAACGTCTCGGTAATTGTTTGGATATTTTGTTATAATCACTCCCTGTGTCTGTAAACAGTTCCAATATAGATGATTTTGCAGCATCTCCTAAATTATGAACTTGTAATGTTTGATGTTGTTAAGTTATAAACCAATAAACTTCCTGATAAGAAGCCATACCATATTGGTTGAAGGAATGTCTTGGTCAAAGAGACTAGCAGTTCAACAAGGTTTTATTATTATTTAGGCTATAAATACTATTCTCGCCAAAGAATACAGGGATGGGTAGTAAAGCAGCCCCTATGTTCTAGCCTAGTATTAGGGTATATGTTCTAGCCTTGTTTTAGGGTATATGTTCTAGCCTTGTATTAGGGTATCTGTTCTAGCCTTGTATTAGGGTATATGTTCTAGCCTTGTATTCTGGTATCTAGAAGACATTATACGATGTTATTGAGAGGTTGTGATTGGCATATTTTAAAACCATAATGTTTCCATTGATAAGTAGGGAAACCCTATAGAGTATCAAAATTATCTATTTTCCCCCCAGTCAATCAAAAAAATGTCGAAGAGAATATTCCTTTTAATTTAGCATCCTGTAAGGTAGGTTTAGTGAGTGGTGAGGTTACCGTAGAAAAAGAGTTTCTAGACCTTTGAATTCCCAAAGATATACTGATATCTACTTGAGTGTTTCCTGTTTTTCATAATAAATGTAAGTAATTAAAACGAGTTTATGGTCATATGCAAAAAGGTTCAGGGTCGTGTTTTAATAAACATCGAGAGGCGACCTGCAGATCTTTAATCGTGATATTGGTGGTTGTTAATGTTATTGAGCTCTTGTGGTATCTGTAAACGTGTTATAGAAAAAGTGTGTTTAACAAATAAATCGGTTAATTTTTAGAATGGCAAAATGGATAAATTAAAAGTCAAATATTTAAATTTACGGTTAAATCGT